CCTCTTATAAAATTGAATTTTATCCAGTTACTCTCATCTTCCATCAAATTAAAGCAAACAAACAAAAAACATTGGTTTCTTTTTTTTTTCCTTCCTGTTCTAGAAACATCATAGTCATTCTGGTTAAAAACCTTGGGAATATCCTTGTTATTTACACTTGCAAATATTCATTCCTCTATATTTCTAGTGTGATTGCAGAAATTTCTCTGATTTAATATTTTTTTCATTGGTACTAGAGTTATCTTTGTAAAAAAAAAAAAAATAAAAGGAGTAAACACTTTGCTTCCTTCACCTAAAATCATCCAGGGCTCTGCCTTATGTGTTATAGGGAATTCAAAGTCAGATAACTACAGAGGCAAGTAATATAAATAAATGAAGATATCTGTGTACTAAAAAAGAAAGAAAGAAGAAAGTAGAAGGGATTTAAAAAAAAAGAAGAAGAAACACTAGAAAGAGTATGTCCCATCCAAATGGAACTATTTCCATTTAGCCTCAGTCTGAGTTCTTTGACAGGAATGAAGGCCAAGTGTCTATTCATCATTCACCACATATTCATGCAGTGATTATTATGTCTGAAGCACTGCTCTGGGTACATGGGATAAGGCAGGAAAAATAACATAGATAAATTCCCTCCTGGGGATGACACCAATTCTGAAGATCTGAATCTCACTTGAGTCACACTAAAGCTACCAATAATTAGTATTACCACATCTTCAAATTGAAAGTAAGAGGTAGAGAAATCAATCCAAGTTTGTCTGCAAAATTCCATTTTTCAAAATGTTTACTTAAAATTTCTAAGCTAACTTCAGGCTTATTAAATATGTGCTATTTGTAACATCAGGCCTTCAGAATAATATTCCAATGTGTCACTCTGAAATTCCAAGGCCTTCTGACCTATACTTATTTTTCCAGCTTGATTTCCATCTACTTCTCTGGTTTCTTTCTCTATTCACAATTGAACATGTCTGGCCTTTTCCACCTTCTATTATGTCTTGGGCTTTGTGCTTTTCGCTAGAATGCATTTCCATTTCCCTCCCTTTTCACCTCTGGTCAGTCAGTACTTAATTGATAGCCCAAATGTCAAGTCCTTTGTAAGCTGACCCTAATCTCACTGTATAAAATTACTCTTACTCTGCCAGTGTTCCACAGTATTTCCTACATACTCTCATTAGAGCACTTGCCAATGTATTTTATGGATCCTGAGTGCAAAGAATCTATAGTTTCATCTTTGTATCTTGAGGATCTAGCGTAGTATTTGCACAAAGTCAATGCTTAATAAATACTTGTAGAATGATTGACCAGCCCTGAAATCTTACTTTCTTCAAACTAGCAATGATGGTAACCCACATCAGATAAATTTACCTATCAAGCATAGAATAAACAGCTGTTCTATGAACAGAAGCTTTGTTTCACATGTAAACAATCTTGATATAAAAACTACCCTTTTATTAAAATGGTAATTATCAAATTTCGTATCAATTATACTTGAAAGAGTTGCCTAGGTCCACTCACCCAACTCCTCCTATGCCTCTTCTTACCCCACCACACGTGTACCAAAACTCCTGAAATGGTTACACTGGCTGGCTTACGCATTTGTAATTTAAAGCCCTGGACTCGTCATATGATACAGCAAAAACATTCTCTCCCTTTTCTATTTGGGTTTTCTTATTTGATTGCTTTCAGCCTCCCAAGATTATGTTAAAAGGTAGTTGTGTGGGAGATGGGTGTGAGGGATGCAGGGTGAAGATGAGGAGCAGGCTTTATCAACTGGCAAGTGTGTGCCAGCAATGTTTTAGACACTGCACATATGCTGGCCTGGTTTTCCTTTCTGAAAATATTCCTTTAAGGTAAGTAGCATTATCCTCAACTTACAGAGGAAGAAAATTAGGTGGAGTTAAACTAATTGTCAAGTTATATTCCATAAGACTTGTGGATATCTCCTTAGAAAAAAGATTTAGGAGAAAATTTAGTTCATTTTATACTTGGCCAGTTTTCAACTCTTTTTTCTACATATTTAATACACACAAAATAAAATATACATAATTATTGTCCGATATCTACTGAATTCAGACTTTTTTTAATCTACCAATATTTTTAAAGCCAGTGAGACTTTCCTTTTATAAGAAAAAATATTAATGCCCTCTTTAGTATCCTGAAAAACAATTCATAGAAATGATCAAATGCACCCACACAATTGTTTTAAAAGAAATATAATGGCCTATATTAAAGGAGAAATAAGAGCAAAACAGTCTATGTTAAAGTAATATGTATTTCAGTGTATAAATACTCACGTAGAATTGTTGTTGTTGTTATGTGCCGTGGAGTCGGCCCCGACTCATAGCGACCCCTCCTTGGGTTTCCGAGGCAGTATCACTACGGAAGTAGGATTGCCCAACCTTCCTTCCGAGAAGTGGCTGGTGGGTTTGAACCGCCAGCCTTCTGGTTAGCAGTCAAGCGCCTTAGGCACTATGCTACCAGAGCTCCTCATGTAGAATTATACTTGTGAAATAAAAGGAAGTGGCCAGATGTTTGCATCTTTTAAGTGGACTCATTTTGAATGTGATAGCTATAGATACAGACTAATGTGGTTGTGTTTAATTATATTGATTGTGATACAAACACTGTAAGCAGTGTTGTTGTTGGTGACATGTTTTTCCAAAATGGTGAGTATTTGTGGTAAACAAAAACAAAGAACAAACTTCCTTCGATTTATTTGGTAGTTGAATTTCTGAACATTTTATCTTAAGTGAAAACTATGTAAATCATACTTGTGTTTATATGTAAAACAATGTTAGGTTCCAGGCTGGGATAAATGATAGGATAATGTTCACCTACATGAGTGTCCTGTAATATATTTAGAAGGTATGGAGGACATGGGGCAAGTATTTGAGATCAGGACTTAGCAATGTTTAGATACCTTGGAGGACTTAGCAATGTTGAGATACCTTGGTCCTAGCACATGATACTTCAGCAGTGTCCTTCCCACTAGTCACCGAAACAAACTAAATGCCTCTGCAAATTTATAAAACATTTGTCTGTGGGGCAATACTGCTGTAAAAGGTTGTTAGTTGTAGTGTCACAACTTGTCTTAATTTCAGTGGGGATAATGCAAATCATGATCAGCCCAAGGCTGAGTCCTGCAAGGTAGAGGTCAACCTCCATTCTTCAAACTTTTCACCAATTCTGACACCAGCTGTCCCTCCCACAGCACTCCAATCATTCTAATGATCACACAAAACTCACAAATCATAATTACAATTAAGTGGTTTATTATTAAGGAAGTAACAGGGTACGATTTGGGATCAGGATCAACAAGCTACAACTCAAGATCAATATCAAGGAGAATATAGACAAAGTATAGAAGGTTCTCATGAAGAGGAAAGCACATCCCTCCCTTTGGTGCAGAACAGCTCCCTCAACTCCTATCACCCCCAGAAAGCAAGCAGCCCCTTCTCACATCTGTGCTTACTGCCTCTCAGCCTCTTTCTCTTAGCCCCTGAGGAAAGGCTTCCTCTCAGCCCCCTCAGGATAGGATTCCTCTTAGCTCCCTCCAGAAAGGCCTTCTCTTTGCTCCCTACGGATAGGTCTCTTCTCAGCCTCCTGAGGACAGGTTCCTCTTCCCCAACCCTTGCCGCCTCTCACCTCCAGCTCTGCTGCAGGATCCCGCCAAGCCTGTCACCACTGGCTTTGCTGCTGGACCCCTTCCGGGCCCATCACTCTCTTCAGTGTTTTCACTCTTAACCTGTATTATAGCTCTTTCAGGAGATTCCTTGCCGTCTTTCTCTCTGCTTCTCTCTTATCTATTCTCCTTTCTATTTCTTCCTGCTCTGTGCCTGAAACAACTCTGTAGAGCTAACTGCATATAAACAAACTTCACATCAGTTTCAAGGCATGGGCCTTCCACTGGGGCCACGAACTGACCAATAAACTGGCCAATCGCCTCTGTGTAGGCCTCAGAAGCTGTATTTGCATAGTAGGTTACAGATGCTTCATTTGCATAGTTTATTGATCAGTCCTTACAAGGTGCATACCAGTCAGACTGCAGGGTACCCAGGACCTGACAAAAAGTTTAATCCAAGTTTACCGCTTAGGCAGGAAATGTAACATATCTTCTGGTAGAAAAATTGCAACAAAGGAAACTCCTCAAGGGATTAGGGGAAAAATCTGTCAAGCTGTTTTTGCAAGAGGCAAAAGTCCCCACAAAGGCATTTATTTCACCACAACTGCTCTCACTGAGAATCACTGATATAAACTTTCCTAACCAAAATTGGCATTTGTTAATAGACATTGATCATTTATTCCTTGTGTTTAAGATACTGTATGCAGTCATTATGTAAAATAGGAATTCCTAGGATCCTACATTTCCACGGGGTTCATAGTCTTATAACCAAGAATATAGGTCACGTACACATGGTTAATACTAAAAATATGTGCTTATCAAAAAAAGTAAATGGGAGCTGAGAACACCAGGAGATTTCAGAGAAGCATTAGAAACAAGGTGACCTTTGAAGGATGTGTACATGTTGAAGTGACTATAGAGAAAAGTTGCATCACAGAAGAAAGTGAGACAAGAAATGTGCCTGAGTTGAAAGTACTTTACTATTGGAAAGTAATGGTCAAAAATAATAGAAATTAAGATTGTAGTGTCATGTCCATACCTGATCTTAAAAATTATTAAATTGAACAATTCATGAATTGAAGATGAGGTATGGTACTGCCATATAAAACATTATGTTTTAAGATGGCTGATTAGTAAATTTGGAATTTGTTAACAGTAAAACTTGGGGGCTTAAAATGGAAGACTCGTATTTCTTAACGTAGGAACATATTTTTAGTATTTTTTCATTTTTGGGATTGTTCATTATATTCACTCAGATGAATCCAAGACTAACTCATAGTATTGACAACAGATACACATGTGAATCCACAGATATGTGAATGTGAATTTCCAAAAATAAAAGGTCATGAATCCATGGTTTTGTTTTTTCTTTTCCCTGCAGGTATGATTTTGTAGAAGTTGAGGAACCCAGTGATGGAACTATTTTAGGGCGCTGGTGTGGTTCTGGTGCTGTGCCAGGAAGACAGATTTCTAAAGGAAATCAAATCAGGATAAGATTTGTATCTGATGAGTATTTTCCTTCTGAACCCGGGTTCTGCATCCACTACAACATTGTCATGCCAGTAAGTACCATTTCAATACCCATTTATTTAATTGAGTCAATTATTTGTTTACTTGTCCTTTCAAAATGGAAGTGGAAGGAAAACAAAATACAAAAATCCACCTGCTGGTTAGTAGCCCATGCTCAGTCATTTGCCTCATGTAGGGAATCCATAAATTATTGAAGATACCTCTATGTCCATTCTATTATGGAATGCTTTCTGCCATTATAGATTTTTCACTATTTCTCTAGTGTTAATTTCCAAAATTTTTGTGTTCAAAAGTTAATAATTTTATTTAGGAAAAATTTTATGAGTTGATTTTTTAACCAATGTTGGCCTTGGGAGTTTTAACTCCACTCTTACAGGGTGATTGGGTCCACATTTTCATTTGAGGTGATAGCACATCTAAAGTACTTAAATACTTAAATATGAAACAAAATTATATTTCATTATAATGGTAGGTTTAATATGAAATCCTTCAGCATGTATTACACATCAACATAAGGAAAACAAAAATCCTCTCATTTGAACCTATAAACAACATCATGATACATGGTAAAAAAGGCTGAAGTTGTCAAGGATTTGATTTTGCTTGGATTCACGATCAATGCCTATGGATGCAGCAGTCAAGAAATCAAGTGATATACATTCCATTGGGCCGATCTGCTGCAAAAAATTACTTCAAAGAGTTAAAGAGCAAAGATGTTACTTTGAACACATTAAAACATACCTTAGTATGCCTGACCCAAGCCATGGTATTTGCAATAACCTGATATGCTTGTGAAAGCTGGACATTGAATAAGAGAGACTGCAGAAGAATTGATGCATTTGAAATGTGGTCTTGGCAAAATTATTGAATATGCCATAGACTGCCACAAGAACAAACAAATCTGTCTTGGAAGAAGTATAGCTGGAATGCTCCTTAGGAGGGAGAATGGCCATGCTTCCTCTCTTGGACTTTGGTCATGTTATCAAGAGAGATTAGTCCTTGGTGAAGGATATCATGCTTGGTAAAGTACATGGTCAGTAAAAAGGAGGAAGAACCTCAACCAGTGAGATTGACATAGTGGGCTCAACCATAACAACGATTGTGAGGATGGCCCATGATCAGGCAGTGTTTCTTTCTGTTGTACATAGGGTTGCTATGAGCTAAAACCAACCTGACAGCCCCAGCAACAACAGTATGACTGCAAGGTTTTTGTTCACCCCAGACTGGTGACAAAACTAATCTTGAATTTGATGAGATTATATTTGAAATGTATTAAATTGTTTATATTATATGAATTTGTTGTTGTTAATGTTAATTTAGTGGTGTATAAATGATAATCTACTATTCTGCTGCAGAATAATACATAAAAATTAAAATATTCTTATGCCACCAATAACAGATGACTTGATTTGATTTTATGACCCTATGAGTTCTCTGAGTATGTAACCCAAGGAGTTTGTATGGATTGAATGACATATGTAAAGATGAAAATAGTGGGTATTTATAGTGGTTAGGTCAGTTCTGAGCACATTACAGGCTCTCAATAAATACTTAACTTCTGGGTGATCTGCAGTCTGCAGTCTCAGTAATCCCAGCTGAGGTAACATACACTGATACATGTATGTTAATCTGTAAATGTTTATCAGGTCCATTAGCCTTGTGATGAGGCAAAACAACAACCAATCAAACCAAACCAAACCTGTGTATCTACTGCAATTACCACCCACTCTTTTGACTAAAAGAGTCCTGGGGCTTGACTGCTAACTAAAAGGTTTGTGATTCAAATTCTTAGCTGCTCCATGGGAGAAAGATATGGTCATCTTCTTCATTAAATATTTAAATCACTGGAAACTCTCTGGTCACTATGAGTTAAAATCCACCTAAAAGCAACCCCCCCCCCCATTTCTTCTACTCTCTCCTAATAGGGTCACTGAGTCAGAATTGACTCAATGGCTGTGGGTCAATAGTTTTACCTGGCATTTGTTCACCTGCCCTTTGTTCTGTACATGCATCTCTCTTTTCATACAGTGACATTCATTTTACTTAGAAACTGCCAACAGAAAGATGACATTTAATTACGAAAATGAGAGCTCTGGTAGCATAGTGCCTAAGGGACTTGACTGCTAACCAGAAGGCTGGCGGTTCAAATCCGCCAGCCATTCCTCGGAAGGAAGATGGGACAATCTACTTCTGTAGTGATACTGCCTTGAAAACCCAAGGAGCTGTCGCTATGAGTTGGGTCCAACTCGACGGCACATAACAACAACAATAACTAAAAATTTGACAAGTGGGTATGCTTTTAGGCTTTGCAAAATATTTTAAAATATTGATGTATATTAGTAAATGACATACTTTCTTCTTCTCTGTCAACCCATACCATCAGGAATCCTCCAGCTTATCTGTGTACAATGAATAAAAGCCTAAGAGAAGAAGGCCTGTCTGTTGCAGAACTGACTCAGACATCTTTTTTCTAAAATTTTATTGTGATTTGGGTGAAATTTACACAGCAAATTCACGTTCCATACAGCAGTTCACATACACTTTGTCTCATGGCATTGACTGCAATATCCCACAATGTAAGAGCTCTCTTCCAACTTCCTCCCCATAGTTACCTCTTCCCTTTGTCCTTCCCTCCCATGCACTCTTGTCCCCTGAGCTGTCTTCCTGTGCATACACAGCCCTTCTATTCTCCCATGATTAATCTCTCCAAGGAGTGTATCTACCTAATGTAAATATTCAGCTCATATGCCTATCTTTTGTTTGGCTGGAAGCCACAGGAGTGGGTTCAATTAGAAACCTGAAGGACAGCTAGGGGCTATAGTCTCACAGGTTCCACCAGGCTCTATCAGACCAGCAAACCTGGTCCCTTTTTTTTTTTTTTTATGATTTTGGGTTTTTTTCTACATCGTTTTTCCCCTCTATCCAGGATCTCCTCCCTAGATCCCCCTCTGAGTGGTTGACAGTGGTAGCTGGGAACCATCAAGTTCTTGACTAATTGTTCCCATGTGTCTTTGATTTTCTTCATTCTTCTTTGCTCTGGACAAGGAGGGAGCCATTGTTGCATCTAGAAGGCTGCTTGCAAGTTTTTAAGATCCCAGTCGCTACTCACCAAACTAGGATGTAGAACAATGTTTTTGTGTAGTATGTTATGCCAGTTGAGCTTGATGTCCCCTGCTATCATGGTTCCTAGCCCACAGGTCCAACTGCTTTGCTTGCTCCCTCTGGGTTGCTGGCTGTCACCAAGAAGTGACTACAAACTTGTCCCTTGTCAGTTGTACTATATACCTGGAAATTCTTACAGAACATACAAATACACTTGTAAAATATTTTCTGCCAACCCTATACATAGTCATGGGCACACTCCCCACCTCATAGACATACCTAATTGTTCAGCCTGTCCACCCATCTATACACCCATGGATCAATGTTTTCCTTCAGTGACAATGCAGCACTGTATGTGCAAAAGTGTTCATCTTTGTTGTTTATACCTCCCATGCACCTCTCTATGTCTTCTACTTCCTCAATACTACCAGGTTGATTACTACATTTGGTACACTGCTCTTCCCTTCACCCAACTTGTCTACTTGTCTCTACCTGTCTAACAGTGTTCCTTCCCTTCCCTCCCCTCCACCCCTGGTAACCAATAAAGAAAATTTCCTTCCATATATAGACCTTTCCTTGACTTTTTAAAACAACAGACTAATACAATATTTGTCCTTCTGTGATTGATTTATTTCACTCAGCATAATTTCCTCCAAAGTCATCCACATTATGTGGTGTTTTGCAAATTCTACATTATTTATTTATTTTTTATTGTGATTTTGGTGAAAATTTACAAAGCAAATGCACTTCCCATACAGTAGTTCACATACACTTTATCTCATGACATTGACCACAATTTACCACAATGCAACAGCTCCCCTCCCACTTCCTCCTGACAGTCACCTCTTTCCTGTGCCATCCCTCCATGTACCCCTGCCCCTTGAGCTGTCTCCCTGTGCATAAACAGCCCTTCTTTCTCCCATGATTGTTCTCTCCAAGGAGTGTATCTACCTCAGGTAAATGTTCAGCTCCTATGCCTGTCTTTTGCTTGGCTGGAAACCACAGGTGTGGGTTCAATTCCAGACCTAAAGGACAGCTAGGGGCCATAGTCTCAGTGGTTCCAACAGGCTCTATCAGACCAGCAAACCTGCCCCCCCCCTTTTTTTTCCCAAATGATTTTGAGTTTTATTCCACATTGCTCTCCCTCTCAGTCCAGGATCTCCTCCATAGATCCCCCTCTGAGTGGTTGACAGTGGTAGCCAGGCACCATCTAGTTCTTCTGGTCTCATAGTCATATAGGCTGCAGATCTCATGGTGTAGCCATCACTAGGACTAATTTTTCCCATGATGAACATGGATGTGCATATGTCTGTTCTTGTCATGGCTCTCACTTCTTTAGGATAAATACCTAGTAATGGAATGGCTGGGTCAAATGATATTTCTAATTCCAATTTTTGAAGGAATTGGCATACTGCTTTCCACAGTGGTTGTACCATTTTACAGTCCCACCAGCAGTGTATGAGAGTCCCAGTCTCTCCAAATTCTTGCCACCATTTGTTATTTTCTGTCTTGTTGAACTTTGCTACTAGTACTGGAGCAATATGATATCTCGTTGCTTTGATTTGCATCTCTCTAATGGCTAATGATTATGGGCATTTCTTCAGATGTTTGTTGGCGACTTGAATATCCTCCTTGGTGAAGTATCTATTCATGTCTTCTGTCCATTTTTCAATTGGATTATTTTTCTTTTTGTTATTGAGGTGTTGGAGTTTTCTATAAATTCTAGAGATAAGTCCCTTGTCAGAGATGTCATTGCCAAATATTTTTTTTCCCAATCTGTAGGTTCTCTTTTGACTCTTTTGGAGAAGCACATAAAAATTTAAATTTTAGAAGGTCCCATTCATCTAGTTTCTCTTCTGGTGTTTGTGCATTTTGAATTATGCTTCATAGTCTATTTATGCCATATATTAGGGCCCCTAAATTTGCCCCT